CCATGCTTAAATATTTACTCTGCATAATCCAACCTCTCAGTCCTTCCTTGCCTCTGACGTTGGACAAATTGCTCTCCTTAGAACTCCCATCTTCACAGCTCCCCAAAAGGGAAAACTCAAAACATCACCCACAGGACTTGGTAAGCTTGGGGAATGAGTAATTTTGGGGATGTGACCTTCACGGGTGACTGACATTCAATAGGGGAGTTTGGGTATCCCATTTTATTGATTCATTCATTGCTGGACTCTTCATTCATTCATTCATTCATCCATCCATCCAATCCGTGACCACTACATTCACACAAACAGCAGTGTGCTAAGCTGGCTAAGGGAAGGCAATTGTATACTTCCTATACTTCCTGTTCATGGTGCGATCTGTCATCTCAAAATCATCCCTCATCCGGGGCTGAAGATCCAAGGGTTTCTGGAAACCTTGGGGGCCAGGAGCTTTCCGTGAGAATCTGATGATAAAAAGCTTCCCACCCCGAGTCTGCCACTCTGCCACTCTGTCTTTCGTTTCTCCTTGGCCCATGTCCTGTTGCCCTGGGAATGGAGGAAGAGTGAAGAATTCCCTCTCCAGGCTTGGTCTCTCTGCGGCAAACTCCTAGATGCGATCACTCCCTTCTCCAGCCATTTGTTTTTTCGATTTGAGTGATACAGAGGCCATTACACAGACTTTACATTACACAGACTTACAGGAAATTCTAGGCACCTAGAGATTGAAATTTTAAATGTTACTTTTGCAGGGCTTAGGCATTGGCTCATAAATTCATTTCAGGGCAGGAGCAGTGGAAACCTCTCTCCCTCTCCGATTTTGAGAACACGTTATACTGCTGACAAACAGGAAGCCTGACTTTATACTCCTAAAGCAAACAGACTCAAATCCTCTCGTGGCTTCTAGGTGTCTGTCTGAAAAAGTAGGAAACCATGTCGATTGACTTCAAACCTTTTTCCTAGTTATTAATCACCATGGCCCCTGGCACACCTGTTGGGATGCTTTATAGGCCCTAACCCTGGTTAAAGGTAGTGCCAACTCTGAGAAATAAAATTCCTTTTACAACGCTGGGGATGGATCCCAGGGCCTAAGGCTTGCCAGTGAGTGCTCTACTATAGATCTATACCCCAAGCCTTTGAAATGCTAATTTTAACTAACTACCAAGTTCAAAGATATTTATTGGCCATTTCTTCTCTTCAAACATATATAATACATTTAAATTCTGGAAAAGATTATGCTACATACTCATGCTGTTTAGATGCGGGTGTATTCAATCGCTCTCATAGGTCATTTGTCATGAAATCTCTACGTGCATGATTTCTCTTAAATCTTCTAGCGCCTGCCCTCTGCCCAACCCCGTCCCGTGACTCAGGAAAAGTCACAGATCCCCAAAGCAGAGAGACTGGGAGGGGAAAATAATGTTTCAAAATAACACAAGCAGAAAGTGGAGTCAGCAGGGTTTGACACTAAGGCCCCTGGCATCCAAGTTCATCTGTGGAAAGAATACTGACATGTTTTTCTTGTCATCACTTTTCACATGGAAAGTTTTGGGTTTGACCCCATCTTTACAGGTGAATCGGAGTGTTAGACACCTTATGCAGCCCTTCTGCACTTCCTGGACACGTAGGGTCTTATGTCAAAAACCACGCTGGGGAGGGGCCCATCACGACACGTGAATACTTGTGCAGACTGATTTTGAAAATCAAGCTCATGGTTGTGAGTCCTTTATTTTGCTTTCTTTTTGGTTTTTTTGATCTTTAGAGTCAAATAACTTGCAGGTGAAGGATGCATCTAAATTTGTGTCTAAAATTAATTTCAATATATCAAAATGGACTCTTCTTCCCTCTCCTTCCCTCCCTCCCTCCCCCCTCCCTCCCTTCCTCCCTCTGTCCCTTCCTTTTTTCCTCAAGGCCTTTGGTTTGTTTGTTTGTTTGTTTTGTCTTTTTAATGACAGGGTGTCCCAGTGTAACTCAGGTTAGCCAAAAACTCATCATCTTCCTGAGATTACAGGTATGGGCCATCATGCTTCACTCAAAGCTGGATTTTTTTGTATGTATATGCATGGGTGTACACGTATGTGCAGAGCACATTCACACATGTGCACATGTACGTGGTCAACCTTAGCTGCCCTCCCTCAGAACCCTGTCCACTTTTTTGTGTGTGTGATAGGGTTTCCTACTGGCCTAGAAGTCACAAATCCAGTTAAGATGACTAGCCAGTGAGTCCCAGGGACCCTCCAGTCTCTGCCCCTCCCCAGCACTGGGATTAGACCCACTTGGCCTTTTTTTGTGTGTGAATTCTGAGATCCCTACTCAGGCCCTTGCACTTACAAGGTAAGTGTTTTCCCATGGCACCCCCTGTCCAGCCTCCGAAGCTGGACTCTTGAAGATGTCGGGCTCACCATCTTTTCTACATTCCCTGAGTTTTTATGTCCATCACATTATCCTTGCAAATAGAGCTTTGCAAAGCCCTTGGGTATAGGTTATTTCATGCTGTCTGTTGGTATAGAGACCTGAGAGATGGAGAGTCCAAGGAGTCTCCAATGCTGACTGACGTATGTGAGGGCTGGCCCTGGAGTGTCCTGTGGGAATTGGTATAGCAAGTTCACCATATTCGAGAATTCCCCCAATAAGAAAAATCATTGGCATTTCCCAGCTGCCTTCTGACTCCATATTAAAGGATTAGAGATCCATTGGCTATACAGGAAAAGAAAGTCCCAGTGGGGTTTATTTAAAACCATACCTGAGTAGACTTTGTTCAAAAATGACACAATACCTCATACCTTGTATGTTAACTTAAAAACAAAAAGAAGTTATTTAAGAACGACCCACCTGAACCAGGCATGGCGGCACACATCTATAACTCCAGAACTCTGGAGGATGAGACTGGAGGAGTGTCTCAAGTTCCAGGCTAGCCTGGACTACATAGAGAGACCTTGTTGCAAAACACAAAAGTCAAAACCAAAGCAAACAAAACAAAGCTGGCCGGTGGCTCCCCCACACAGTTTAATACATGTAATAGAGTTACATACATGTAATAAATTCCCTGTAGAACTCCCACACACACACACATACACACACACCATAAAGGGGTTGGAGGAAGCCGGGAATGTACCGCTCAAGTCCGTCATCTCCCCAGGGCCCATGACCTGCTAGCTGCACACAGTAGGCAGGCAGATGGTTGCATTAGAGGGATACAGAGAAGGCGCTGTGGAGAAGAACTTGCCGTGCAAGCCCGGGGACTTGGGTTCCCATCCCCGGCTCTCACATAGAAGCTGGACATGGCGGTGCATGTCTATCATGGTGGTGCACGTCTATCACCTCAGCTCCAGGTGGAGGAGGGTGGACACCCTTGGAATTCACTAGCCAGCCAGTTCTGGGGGAAATCAGTGAGCTCCAGGTTCAGTGAGAGAGCCTGACTCAAAATAAATAAATAAATAAATAAATAAATAAATAAATAAATAAATAAATAAATAAATAAATAAATAAATAAATAAATCAGCGGAGAGTGACTGAGGGAAGGTGTGATGATGTGGCCGAAACCCTTCACCTGCTAGCAGGGACGCACTTGGGTGGAGCTCTTGCTGTGTGCAGAGATAGCATCAGTTGACTCTCAGTGTGCAACAGTTGCCGCTGCTGGCCGACCGACCGCTCTTTATCTCCGGGCAGGAATTCATTTATGGCGCTGTGAAATGCCGGCCTTATCAAGGGATGTGATGGGTTAATGCCCGCATGCTTCACCTCGATTACCTTTGGTCCTGATGCTGGTGTTTACAGTACAGGTTTGAACTTGAGGGAGGGGGGCAGGGGCGGAAGAAGATAATTAAAAGGCTCCTACTTGCCTGCTGACCTGTTTAGAGCAGGTAAGACCTGCCCAGGTGTGGGCAGGGGCCCTTCACCTACAGCCCTATCTCCCCAGGGAGATAAATTCACAGTTAATAAATGTAAGAGGCGGCTATGAGCCAGCACAGAACTGCTGGCCCAGCCCAGTGGATCAAAGAAAACTGACTGATTCTCAGCGGGAAATACTGGGGGTCAGAGAAGGGTTCCTGTCATAGAGTTAGCAAGGAGAAGCTAGCTAGTGTGGGGAGAACCCCTAGATCCTCATTTGTCTATAGTAATGGGGTCTTGAGCAGAAACCTCAACCTGATGAGGCCTAAGCCTCCATCTCTTCAGTCTTAGGGCTTCTGGGAGGATACTTGATAAGGAAAAGCAACCAGGTCGTACCTTGACAAGGACTAGGTGTAGACCCTTTCCTTATGTTCTCAGCTGATAAAAGCCACCCATCTCCCTTGGCTTCTAGAAACTTCCATTTTTCAAATGCTGTTTCTCGGGTCCAACCTCTGTTGGGTCCTTCTATCTCTGACCAGGACCCTCCTGGCTTCTTCTAATAAGGACCCCATCATGATGCCGCCTATCTAGGAAAGCAGAATCATGTCTGCATCTGAAGATCTTTAACTCAATCATGTCTACAGAGTCCCTCCCTCTGAGGTGTTATCATAGGTCTGGGGACTCCAGTGGATGTGGAGGTGGGCATTTAACGAGGCCATTGTTCTGCCACCAAATGCCTTTATTGTTTGTTTGTTTGTTGTTTTTTGTTTTTTGTTTTTTCGAGACAGGGTTTCTCTGCGTAGCTTTGCACCTTTCCTGGAACTCACTTGGTAGCCCAGGCTAGCCTCGAACTCACAGAGATCCGCCTGGCTGTGCCTCCCGAGTACTGGGATTAAAGGTGTGCGCCACCAACCACCGCCCGGCTGCCTTTATTGTTTATACCTCCCTACATAAGGGGATTGTGGTGTTCCTGGAGATGGAGTCTTCTGTCTATATCATAACTGCTCAGCCCCCTCAAAGCCTTCTCTGCGCCTTTCCATACTTCAAGATTTCCTCTTGCCCCCCACCCCACCCCACCCCCAAGCCATCGTCCTGGGAGCTTTAGATTCTCAGGAAACTTATGCTGATCATAAGCTCTTTCTCTTAAGGCAGAGACACCCAACTCTTAGGGTGCTGGTGTAGGTCACTTCGTTTTGAATATGACAGCACATGCTGCCTGTTTTCTTCTATTTGTTTTATTGGTGGGGCTCTCATACCACCCACAGTGACATTTGCAGATGCTCGAATGGGTCACCAAACCAGACCCAGGGCCGCAGAATGTCCAAGAACAAGCACAAAACCAAGCCGCCACATCCATCACGCGCGGAAATGCTTTTCTTTCATCCCAAAGCAGACCCCAAGGGGAAACAGGAAGTGGCTTTGCAAAGTATCAGCCAAGCCCAGAGCTTCCCATGCTGAGAAGTGACCAACGCTCATGAGAGACACGTCTGGGTGGGCATCATTGCCCACGGCCTAGGTACAGTGCTGAGACATGCCTAGCATCTCTGAGGTTCTAGAATTTTCTGTATTAAGGTGGCGCCGTTGGGTGGAGTTCGTTCAGTGCCAGGTGGGGTGCACTGAGTAGAGCTTTACTCTTATCCCTCTGATATCATTTCTTCTCACCTCTTTACATGATCTATGAGCTTCCTGACTCTCGAGGGCTGTGTCAAAGCGGGTGTGGTGTCTGCCTGCCTGGGCCGCCCTCCTCCTGCCGATGGTACTATCACACCCTGATTAGTATTAATAATTGATTTATATAGCACCTTTTACAAGCCTCCAAGTATTTCGGCACAATTGGTTCCTGTGTGGACACACGCATCACTTCACCCTCATTGCCCCACCTGGGAGGAGCGTGGTAATAGTGGCGCCAGCCACCTCGGTGGCGCCACTGATGTGACACGGGGACAGTTTGATGAGGGAAGTGGGGCAGTTTGTTATCTCCTTGGGCAGGGGCGGGGGCCATGCTAGGTTTATTAATAAGTCAAAGGGTTCAACCACAGAGAAGCAGGCTTGGGCCACGGGTGTGGTAGCTTCCTCATTACAGAGATGGAAAGAAACAGAGGGGCTGATGGAACAAAACAACCCCAATGACAAAGATGATATAAGGTCCACACATGTGTGAGTCATATCAACATGTCTCCCCTGCTTAGTCAAATTGGAACATAGAGGTGGTTATCCAAGGCTCAGGGTACTGGCAGCCATATTTGAGCAGCTTGTCTACATCTAGGATTTGGAGAGCCCTAGTCAATGATAATATTTATGTTTCCCATACCCCACCCACACCCTCTGTGTACATGTATAACTAACTGGTGGAAGTTTGTTCTCTTGTGGGTCCTGGGAATTGAACTCAGGTCCTCAGGCTTGGCAGCAAAAACCTTTACCTCCTGAGCCATCTCACTGGCCTTACAATGTATTTTGAGACAGGGCCATTCACTGACCTCACAATATATTTTGAGACAGGATTTCTCACTGGCCTTACAGTGTATTTTGAGACAGGGTCCCTTAATGACCTCACAGTGTATTTTGAGACAGGGTCTCTCACTGATCTCACAATGTATTTTGAGACAGAGTCTTTCACTGGTCTGGAATTTATCGATTAGCCAGGCTGGCTGGCATGCTCCCCAGGGATCCTCTTCCCTCCACCTCCCCAGTGCTAGGGTTACAAGTGTGTGCCACTACATCTGACTTTTCGTGTGTGTTCTAGAGATTGAACTGGGGTCCTAATACTTGCTGGGCAGGCACTTGACTGACAGCCATCTCCCAAGTCCCAAGAGCTTCCATTACTTGAGTTTGTTTTCAAGAGCCACCGTCACGTAGTTTAAGAGCATGAAGTTGGCTGAGATTTTTTTTCATGTGGAGACCATTTCTGCCGCCCACTAACTGAGTGATCTTGGAAAAAAGATCACAGACTCTGCACTCAACTCAGTTTTCTCATTTCCATGTGTGCTTGCTTTGCAGAAATGAAGCAGTGTCTGACATGTGGTGCATGCTCCATCAGGATAAGCTATTTATTATTTTATCAGCAGCAGCAGCATTTCTATCACCACCCTCATCACCAGTATCATCATCATCTCCATCACCACCCTCATCACCAGTATCATCATCACCTCCATCACCACCCTCATCATCTCCATCACCATCATCATCTCCTTCACCAGCATCAATACCAATATCATCAGGATCTCTATCACCAGTATCATCAGCATCTCCATTCACTAGCAGCTCTCCCCAGAGGAATAAGATGTCTACTAAGAACAAATGGTCTTCCCAGAAATAAGGGCTGAAACATGGAGAAAGTGTCTCATGGTTGTCCGAAGTCTTGTAGTCTGCCTCCTGGGAGGTCGGGGAAAACCTAGACTCACCCAGTAGCAAAGATCAAGCTTAGAAATGAGTCAGAGAAGTTGGTCAGTCAAGTGAAGAAACTCAGAGACCAGGAGGCTAAAGGACATGTGACAGTTCCAAGGAAGCCAGGCCTTACATAAGATGGGGACTGAGATGATATGGAACCTAGGACTTGGATGGTGACATCAGATTAGGATTTTCTGAATCCATCCCACCCAATGCCAGAGGAGTGGTCCAGGTTCTGGGAATAATACCCAACAGGGCCATGTAAATGAGGGGCATGGCTACAGTAGTCTCCTCTCTCAGAGAGTCTTAGAACCCACCACTGGCCAGAGACTTCCAGAAGATCTTGTGGTAGAGAAACCCTTTACTTTCTGCTAAGCATTTCTCAAACCCATTTATCAATTGCAGACACTCCTTATAATTTAGGACTGGGATCCTAAGCAGGATTTTTTTAGTGGTGCTTGGTGTTTTAAATTTTTAATCATATTTCATTCATTCATTCATTCATTCATTTTATTTTGTATGTGATGGGGTGTGGAGATCAAAGAACAGCTTTCTTTCCACTATGTGAATCCTAGGGATCAAACTCAGGTGTAAGCAAGTCTCAGTCTTGGGAAACCTTCAGGACCTGGTGACCCAGAACACCTGGTAACCCTCAATCCATCTTTCAGGAAATATAGATATTAAAAAGTTGGACTTCACAGCTTTCAAAAATAAAAAAAAAAGCAAGTCAATTCTATTAGAGTAAACTCAAACTTTCAATGGAAAACCAAACAAAAACAAATCTCCACAAAGTCTTTTTCATCAAACCACGCCCTTTGCTACTTCAACAATAGTGCTTTTAAGATTTATCTAATTTTGGGCCAGAGAGATGGCTCAGAGATTAAGAGCACTGGCTGCTTTTCCAGAGGACCTGGGTTCAATTCCCAGCACCCACGTGGCTGCTCACAACTGTCTGTAACTCCTGTTCCAGGAGATCTGGCACCCTCACACAAACATACATGTAGGCAAAACACCAGTGCACATAAAATAAAAATAAATGTTATTTAATTTTTTTTCATGTGAGTGTTCGCCTGCACGTATGCTCACCTCCCATGTGCAGTACCCACAGAGACCAGAAGAGGGTGCTGGATCCCCTGGAACTGGAGTTACAGATAATTGGGAGCCTTCATGTGGATGCTGGGAACTTAACCCAGGTCCTCTGGAAGAGCAGTCGGTGCCCTGAACCATGGAGTCATCTCTCCAGCCTCAATAGAGCTTTAAAATAACTCTCTTCCAGTCTCCCGCCACTCACTAGAATAACTGTAGTCACCATAGTGCCCCCATGCCCTTGGGGGTGTTTCTGCATGCCAGGCTCCTTGCTCAGCTCTTCAAACTCCAATCTATCATTGAGCTTGCGTGAGGATCTCCACAAGGTAGGAACTGTGGGAACTGAGGCTAACAAGATCAGGTCACTTGGTGAGGGTGATTTGCACGGAGGTGACCTGAGAGTGTCTTCATCTCACACATCCTGTCTGTGTGTATGGCTTCCTGAGGGCAAGTCTCAACAACACAGACGACCCAGCTTGAGGCTGGAAATGTAGTAGGGCTCAGTCAATATGTGTGAAAGGAGCGTCAGCGAGATGGCTCAGCAGGTAAAGGTCCTTACTGCTAAGTCTGGCGACCTGAATTTGATTCCCCAGCACCAGCGTGGTGGAAGGAGAGAAATGATTCCCCCAACATTACCATCTAACTTCCACGTGTACGCTCTTGCCAGAAAATATGCATGCACGTGCATTCAAGCACACACACACACACACACGAATGTAATGAAAGAAAATGTTAAAATTTTGTTAAGTGGTAGCAAGATTAAAAAAGAAAAACTACATTCTCTTTGCACATCACAAAAAATATTTTTGCCAAGGTTGGCCTAACCGACTGGTTTTCCTCCTTTTTTGGCAACCAGAATAAGAGCTACTTTTAATGTGTCGGTCTCCTATTGAATGTGAGCTCGTTATACGTACAGTAACCACCCCCGCTCCCCCGCTTCCTCTTTTTTGGAGAGGTGTGTGGTCCAAGAGCCACAGTAGATGCCTGAAGCCGTGGGCAGTAGGACACCGCAAGGCTGAGAAGGCTGTTGCAATAAGATGGGACTCCTGGGATGGTGTGTGTAGCAAGGGCACTCTGTACAAATGGGAAAGTCAAGGAGGGTTGGCCCAGGATCCACAAAATTGCTTCATGTTACTCAGAGTGGCACAAACCAATGCCGTGATGAATGAATGTGTCATCTGATGTTTTGGGGGTCACAATTAACCATGCATGGATGAATCCATGAGATGTGAAGTTAGGGATAAGCAGATAACTATTGAGCACAAGTGTATATCCATATATAAAACATACAGTGGGCAGCATATACATACATATATGTAATACATGCATGATGATAAGGATAAGCCCATATACCAGCATGGCGCGCGGACCTTGGAAAATCCTCTACTGAGGGAATGGATACAAATTAAGATGTCTGACAAGAAGACATGAAGTGGAGCTGCTGAGGAAGTCTCACCAACACATTTGGAAACATGAGGCTCTTATCTGCGTCTGTGATTTCTGGAGAGGAGGGAGGTACATACCTCAGCAGGGAGGTTACTGTCTCAGGGTGGCTGCTTCCGAAGCTCACCACCTCCTCTGGAAGCCATCAGTGACAGGCAAGAGGCAGCCTGTGGGGAGGAGCTTTGGGTCACGGACTATCTGGAGGTGAAGAAACCCGGTCGATGACAGCTAACACAGTCCTTTACAATGGCTTGCCACTCTGCTGACATGCTAGGTATAATTAAGCCAATTACACCTCACCGCAAGGCTCCTAATGAGCCTAGTACAATTTAATCCCCCATTCAGAGATAAGAAAATGAAGGTACAAGAGGTTATGTAACTTGCCCAAGGTCGTGGATCTTGGAAGCCACTGTTTGGCTGGAGTCCATGCCTGACCCCCTTGGGGCATTTCCCACAGCCAGTGAAGAAAGGTTGAGGAGTGCTCTGTGCCACCATGTTGCTGATTGGGCTGGGCAAGATGGTGAGTGCCTGTCATCTCAGCGCTTGGAGGCTGAGGCAGGAGGATTGTGAATTTGGGGCCAGCCTGGGCTATCAGAAACACCCTATCCCCAAATAAAAACAACAAAAATGTTGCTAGTTGGATCTATTGGCAAGAGGCTGACAGTTCTGAAGGTAATAACTTTATTTCTTTCTCAAACGGTGTATCAGTAGCTTCCACTGAGGTGCATTCTCTCCACCTGAGACATTCTGTGGACATTTATTTCTTGACACAACAGGGATATTTTATTCAGCAGTTTCTTTTGATAATCTCCATTTTACTTATTTGTGCATTAATTCATTAGCTTTTGGAGAAAGGGTCTTGTGTAGCCCAGGCTGGCCTTGAACTCACTTTGTAGTTGAGGTTGGACTTCAACTCTTGCTTCTCCACCTTCTAGGTTGGCAGATCTGAGCCCCTGGGCCCGGAAAACACACATTTTCTTTCCCCTAGGGCTTTGTATTTGCTTGCAAGCCCTCTACCTGTGAGCTACCTCCCGCACCTGGGGTTTTACCTTGTAGATAGTGAAACTAAAGAAAGATCCAGAAACTCCGGCTCGTTCAAGGTCAGCTGGAATTTTCTGACATCCGTAAACCAACACAAGCCTCACTCTACACTCTTGAAAACAGCAGAAAAGCTGGGGCTCAGGAAATAAGGAAACCCCCCCCCCAAACCACACACTTCTGCCCTGCAAATCGTCAGGATGTGTAGTGACAGGAGATGTCTTGATGAAATACAGGGATCACCCTGTGCCCTGAAATTCTAGAATTTTCCCCACCACTCCCACTATTTTCTGAGTGTGTTATCTTGACTCTTGACTTAAGGTGTGACTTCTCCCATCCCTCACCTCTCACCACCACCCGTTCAGCCAGTTTTTCTCCATCTTCAAGGTAGTTCAAATGATTAATGGAGGCCAGGAGTCAACCTTGGGTATCATTCCTCAGGCAGCATCTACCTTGTTTTTTTTTTAAGGCAGGGTCTCTCACTTATCTGGAACTTAACTATGGAGTCCCAGGGGTCCACCATCTCTGCCTCCCTGTCACTGAGACTACTCTTGCACGCCACCATGAGTGGCTTTTTATGTGGATTCTGTGACTCTAACTCAGGTCCTCATGCTTGCAAGAAAAGTACTGTAAAGTTCCAAGTTCCGCCCCCCACCTCTCAGACCACACAGCATGCTCTCCCGTTCTACATAGTTCTAGTCGCCTTTATCCAAAATGCCTCTAACATGTGGGAGGGCCACAGGGCTCTGTAAAGCAGTGGTTCTCAACCTTCCTAACACTGTGACCCTTTAATACAGTTCCTCATGTTGTGGTGATCCCCAACCATAAATTTATTTTCATTGATATTTCATAACTGTAATTTTGCTACTGTTATGAATTGTAAGGGAAATATCTGATATGCAGGATATCAGATATGGGACCCCCTCCAAGGAGTCGAGACCCACAGGTACAGAACTAAGGCTCTTAAAGTGTTTCTTAGACAAAAATCATTTTAAGGTCAAATATAGGTGGAGACTGCTGCTAATTCTGTCCAGTTTGGGGAAATTCAGAGATCCACAGAGTAGCGGTGTGAATAATTCACGTACAGAGACTGATATTTGAACACGACCCTAGACTACTCCCTCCCTCAGCCAATCCTGACTTTTCTTCTCATTGTCTATGGCTTGATGTCCATAGAGGGTGGAGCTGAGGTCGCTGGTTCGCAGACCGCCCCCTGCACCCGTCTGTGGGGAGGTCTCTGTAGATTTTATTCCTCCCTGAAGTTTTGATTGGCCACATCTGGTCACCCAGTTTGTGGAGCTGAATTAAAGAGTTTTCTCCACATACACTAGGTTAGTATAAAATGAGAAAACAAGAGCCAGAAAACCAGCAAAGGCTGGCAGGTATGCTTATTGTGTGTTATCCTTTGAGAAATAAAATTTAAAAGGACATGATATTGAGAAACTTAGCAAAGAGGAAAAGAGGAGAAACTGAGTCACCTGAGTTCATATACAACATGGGATCTAAAGCTGGGTGTTGTATGGAGTTCATACTACAACACGTATCTAAAGCTAGGGTGTTGTATGGTACCTGAGCAGGTTTGGAGCTGGGAGAATTCTTCACTGGAGGCTGCTGCCCTGGACTTTGCATCGAGCACCTTCCCACCACATCCAAGGCCTGTCAGATCTGTGGGTTAGAGGACAAAAGAACCTTCAGTGGGATGATGAGGGCTCAGAAGAGGGTCTGAGCTGCTCGCTCGCTCGCCTCCCTACAGTGGTGCCTGGGGCATGAGCTGAAATAGATTGCTTTGGACTGGGTATTGTTTTGGCAGCTTTCACATTATTGTGGCAAAATATCAGACAGACATCAACAACCAAAAAGGGGGACTATGGATTCTGGCTCACGCCCATCATGTTCGGCCCATCGTCTATTGATTTTGGAGCCATGTTGAGCATATAGAGGGGGAGGAGTCAGAGAGAGGCTGAGAGTGGGCATTAAGTATAAGCTTCAAAGGCTGTCAGTGGCCTGTGTGCTTCAGGTAAGCCCACCTCCTAAAGCTCGCACCACCTTTAAAAAATAGTGCTGGTCTTCGAGCACTGAACACACCAGCCTGTGGGGATATTTCATATCCCACATTCCACAGCTTCCAAACTCAGACACACCCAGAATGGTTAAGGGGGCCTGAGATCTTGAAGACACTCCACAAACCCTGCCTTGAATGGAAGACAGACACTCCACAAACCCTGCTTTGAATGGAAGGGGAGGCAGAAGCTGGGGAAGGCGGTGTTTGTTTTTTTAATTATTATTTTTTATTTTATGCGTATCACTGTTTTGCCTGCATATATGTCTGTGTGAGGGTGTCAGGTCTTGGAGTTACAGACAGTTGTGAGCTGCCATGTGAGTGCTGGGAATTGAACCCCGGGTCTTCTGGAAGAGCAGTCAGTGCTCTTAACCGCTGAGCCATCTCTCCAGTCTGGAAGGTGGTATTTTTATGACATCAGTTTTACCCCGTGAGTGCAATTCAGTTTATCCATGTGGTGAGCAGATAACGGGAGTATGAGGGAGAGGGTGTGGGATGCCCGGGATGAAGGTACAGAGAGTGGGGTGTGGCATGTGTCACAAGCACATTTCTCAAAGTAGACAGTTTTTCATCATATTCATCTTTGGGATAACAGCCTCCTTTGTAGCTAAGACTCCCGATTGGTTATTGATCCTAACGAGCATCATGCATCGCAGACTTCTGATTAGCCGATGATACATGCATTCATTCATTCATTCATTCATTCATCCAGTCATGGCTTCAATCTAGACTTTTGGTTGGTTGTTGATTCCAAGGAAGTCTTCCTTCATTCCTTTCTTTATTCATTTGCTCATTTATAACCCTGAGGAGTCTCTGAGCCACGTGGACTGAGCTAAAAGTTCCTCTCGTTGTCAACTGAACACTGTTAGGAATAAAACAAACAAAAACATGATTCCACAATACCTCAAGCCATTTTTTTTTTTTTTTTTTTTTTTTTTTTTTTTTTTTTGGTTTTTTGAGACAGGGTTTCTCTGTGCAGCTTTGCGCCTTTCCTGGAACTCACTTGGTAGCCCAGGCTGGCCTCGAACTCACAGAGATCCGCCTGGCTCTGCCTCCCGAGTGCTGGGATTAAAGGCGTGCGCCACCACCGCCCGGTCAACCTCAAGCCATTTATTGGCAATTCATGACACAGTGACGTGGGCTGAAAACCTTTGGGGTCCGGGTGGACTCCCCTATTCTGACTCTTTGTGAGTGTGAGAGAGACAGGCTCTCCTTGTGCAGCCCAGGCTGTCCTGGAACTCACTCCGCAGACCAGGCTGTCGTGGAACTCACAGAGATCTGTCTGTTTCCTTAGTGCTGGGATTAAAGCCGGGAGTCTCAGTGCTCAGCTTTGTTCTTTTTTTTTTTTTTTTTTCAGAGTCCATCTAATTAAATTGGAAGACACAGCAAGGCAACAATCGAGGGGGCTCTGAGAAAGGAAGGGGGCTGAGGATAGGTGGGAGAGGGTTCTCTTTGGCATGCGGGAGGGACAGGTGCTTGGGAGGGGCTTTCAGGTCTTCCTGTCCACTTTACGTCTTATCACCCCCTCATCCCCAAAAGAGCCCTCTCCCTCCAGTCTCTTTCAACAGTCAACAGGCTTTCTTTCTTCCCTCAGTAGGTAGACCAGGCTGGCTGCCAACTCAGAGAGATCCGCCTGCCTCTGCCTCCTAAATGCTGAAATGAAAGGTGTGTCCCACCATGCCCCACCCAGTTTCTCTATTCTTGATACTTCACAGCTGATCCTGTTAGTTTCCACCCTTTTCTACTTGGGAGCAGGCTAGGATCATTTCTCTCAGTGTCTCTGGGAGGTAGGGGAGATTTGTGACCATTATAAGGCAAGACACAGTGGGAATCAGTGATACTTTCTATTTCCTGGCTGGTCCTTTGAAGCCTTCCACACCATCCACCACCCTCCTTTCTCACGCACTTGTCGAATAAGGAGGACTCAGTCTCCCCCCCACTCCTCCCCCAGGAGCCTGGGCTCCTGACTACCTGGGCAGAGCCAAATTTAGATGACAAACTGTGAAATCTTGACTGGACGGTTTCATTGGTTCCAGCAGCCAGGGTGTTCAATCCACACCCTGTGGGTGTCTGAAAACTCTCAAGATGCCGGGGACATTAAGCCATGTACCAGTTTTGAGGGATGTTCATCCCATCTGCAAAGACTCTGAGGGTCTTTCAGAGTGAATATCTGAGCATCCAGGGTAAGGGAGTTCTATCTGTCCCATCTTTAGCAAAAGCGCTAGGGTGTAGCATGTACCTATAAAGCAAGAGGGTTTTGTGGGTTGCTTTTGTTGTTATTTTTGTTTTGTTTTGAGACAGTTTCTTAAAATGCAGCTCGGGCGGGCCTTAAACTTGCGGGCTTTTTGCTTCTGCCTCCCAAGCGTTGGGAGAGTTGTATCTTAGTGGAATATGTTAGAGAAGGTCTTAAAAATATGTCAGGGGGGCATAGTAAGAACCCCATAGAGTTCTTGCAGAGATGAAATGAGATACTGCCTTTGAAACTCCTATCCCTGGGAGTGCTCTGTATGACAGGCTGGCTCTTAAGGACAAGATTACAGTAGAGAGAGAGGGCAGGTTTTGACAGCGTATCAGCGTAGAGGCTAGAAGGGCAGGAGCCGAGATGAGCGACAGGAGGCACTATCCAGAGAAAGCGGGGCACCGAGAGATCTTTGGGGTGCCCCTTTGGGAGTGGAGCGGGACAGAAAGCAGGAAAAAGCAACCAGGGAGCAAGAGGAGGCTGAGGCCTCCAGGGGTGCTCTGAGGCTGGGCTGCAGCTCGGGGACTCCGGCTATCCAGCCTGAACCCAGATCATGCCACTGGCCACCACACTGGCGCCTCTTCATATCTCAGCTGCGATTTCCAAGAAGCTCAAAGGGCCTTCCGGAAGTTATCTGCACGCTGGACCCAACAGTCCAGCCTTATCTCTCCATCTCACAGATGGGAGAACAGGACACCACGTGGTTAACCTACTTATCCAAGATCAGAGCGTGAGCCACGGCCTGTGTGTAATCACATTCTAGATTTCTCTGCCACAGGCTCCCCGCCTCCCTCGCTATCGCTCTGGGCCAGGACTGCCAAGTCGGCGGCGTCCCTTCTTCCTCAAAGACAGTCCAGACTCCTCCCGCAATTCAGTTATTAGCAAGATCTTGATCTTTGATGACAAGAAATTTGATTTATAGACTCAATATTCTCTTCAGATCTCCTGGACTTTCTGTGCTCCTGCTTTCTGACGTCGATTATACAAAAGTTCACACAGGGCTGGCGCGAGGGCTCGGTTGGTAAGGACCACGGCTGCCAAGCCTGGGCACCCCGAAAGGGATCTCGGGGCCCACGTGGTGGAAGCAGAGACCCTGCTGTAGCTGGTGGTCCTCTGACCTCCACACACGGGTGTCACATGAACACGTGTACAAATAAAAATCAAAACAGAAAACATAATAAAAACAGAAAACCTGACTCCATGGTGAATACTTCTCTAACCTGGGACCTGGATCCAACCATAGCCAACTTGTTTTATTTCAGTCTATTGGCGGGCCGCTGTGGGACAGGCAGAGAAGGTTTGTAACCACAGAGTAGTAGGCTAAGGTTTTCAAATGTCTGCAAGTGAAGAGAAAATGTGGGGTTTTTGTTTTGTTTTGTGGGTTTTTTTTTTCTTTGAGTTTGAACAAAATTCTTCAATCTTCAGCTTCTGGCTAACAGGTTAGTTTGTTTTAATACAATTAGGTCTGTGTCTGTGTGGAAGTGTCTTATGTGTGTATACAGGTAGGTGTGCATATATGTCTGTATGAGTATGTGTATATATGTCTGTGTGTGCATGTGTATGTGTGTGTGTGTATGTGGGCACATGTATGTATTTGTATATGTGTGTGCACGTGTATGTATTTGTATATGTGTAGGCATGTGCATGTGTGTGTATATGTTTGTGTATGTATGCATGTGTGTATGTATGTGTGTGTATGTGTGTTTGTGGGCACGTGTATGTATTTGTATATGTGTGTGCATGTGTATGTGTGTGTATATGTTTGTGTAGGTATGCATGTATATAGATCTGCGTATATATATGTGTGTATGTGTGTGTATATATATATGTGTGTGTGTGTGTGTGTGTGTGTGTGTATGTGTGTCTATGTATTTTAAAGCTTGCTTCCTCCCTAACAAGGAAAAGTAAGCCAACAGAAAAGCCAGTGATGTGGTTTAGGGAGGATGGCCTGAAATCTTGAGTAAAGACAGTTTCGGGTCCCTCCTTTGATGCACTGTGTATGGTCAGGAGGGAGACACTGTGTGGTTAGCGTCCTGAAAAGCCCAGAGAAATCTCAAGGCCCTTGAGGCAGGCGGTGGCTCATGCCTGTGATCCTAGAACTCTGGAGGCTGAGGCAAGAGGATTATGAGTTTGGTCTAGCCTGAGCTACAAAGCAAAACCCCGTCTTTTAAAAAAAGAATTCTTGAAATCCTTTTTACAGCTGGAGCCCAGAGAAAGCAAGTAACTTGGCTGAGGCTGCACAGTGAGGCCCTTCCAGAGGTGCTGGTTAGGGGTTCCTTACGCTGAAGAATGAGTTGTACTTAGGTGCATGAGCCTTCTGTGTATATATAACTTTAGTGTGTGTGTGTGTGTGTGTGTGTGTGGTGTGTGTGTGAGAGAGAGAGAGAGAGAGAGAGAGAGAGAGAGAGAGAGAGAGAGAGAGAGAGAGAGAGCGAGCATGCACATGGATATGCACACTCCTGCCAAGGTCAGAGGACAACTTGGTGGGAAATAGTTCTCTCTTTCCACCATGTGCATCCCGAGGATCCAGCTCGACTCATCAGGCTGATGACAAGCTTCTTTATCTGCTGAGCCATCTGGCTCCAGCACTCAAGATTTTTCCCCTTTCCCCAGTGGGACCAATGTTGGAAGATTGTCACACACACACACACACACACACACACACACACACACACACACACGCAGGTGTGAGAATCTCCCTGTTTGAGCATCTTGGGGGAAGAAGTCCTTTGGACAAACCCCCCTGCAACCAGAATACGCTCTTGTGGTACAACTCCATCAACAATGGCTTTGCCCCAGCAAACTCCGGAGGTGACCCCGACAAGTGGGAACAGCCAAAGCTCCACCAGAGATGCCACACAGAGAACTGAACGTCTAAGTGAGGGGCTGTGTTCCCGGAGGCACCCCTGTTTCTCTGATGGGGCCCATGCCGAGAAACCCAGTCAGGTCTGGACCCCTGCATGGAGCGCAGAATGAAAGGCAGGCAGGCAGCGGTAAAGTTTCTAAGCCCCCAGCTGAGGCTGCCCTGAAGAAAGAAGGAGCATCAGAAACAGTCGGCCCTGCTCTATCAGACAGCCATCTCTGGCCGGTGCAACCACAGAGACTTTAATCTCCAGGGCGTCATTCAGGATCAGTTCCCTGCACTAAACTCATTTAAAGGAGGGGTTGCATATTAATAAGGAAAATAACTGAACAGCCAGGCGCCCGGATCCCTTGACCTGCCTCCAGGCGGGCCTTAATCACTGTTTGTGAAGGGCAGCGGGAGTCTCAGATGAAAGGCACCCGTGGTGGGCAGGCCCTGCCCGCTGATGTCAGGACACCTGTTGAGCCCGCCCCAGGGGTCCAGCTGTTCAGCTCCAGCTGGCTCCAGTGGTGATGGAGGAAGTGTCCCAGGGTCCAGGGACCAGGCTGGGGGTGCAGTGGGGCAGGCGAGGTCATGGGTGGGATGGGGGGGGCGGTGCAAGGAGAGACGGAGCAGAGGGGATGGCTGAGACACGGGTGAAGACAAATCTGAGGAGAGAAGATGGGGAGAGGTGAGAGTATGGAAAAGAAATGGAGGAAGGGGAAGAGAGGGAAAGGTGGGGGGGAGAGGTGATTCAGACGAGGTGTGTGTGTGTGTGTGTGTGTGTGACTGTTGGGGAGTGTAGAATCAGAGATGGAGAGTGGAAGAGAGAAAGCCAGGAGGGACCAGAAGCCCGGGCAGGCAGGCAGGAGGCGACATCCGCAAGTCCATTAGTGGCGCTGGAGGGGGAGGGGAAGCATCCTGCATGCCCCCCCCCCACCCCAACACACACACCTCTTATCAGCGCAGCCGTGGCTCGCCGCCTTATTGCAGGTGCGTTGGCGCCGCCGAGTCTGCGGGGCCTCGCGGTGGCCTGGCCGGGAGGGTGGCGGCGGCAGGCACGGCAGCAGGCGGGCGGTGCAGACACGGGGCTTCTCACGCAGCAGCGGGGGAAGAGGAGGAAGAGGAGGGAGGAGGAGGGGAAGGAGGAGGAAGAAGAGGAGGAGAAGGAGGAGGAGGAGGAAGATGAGGGAGGAGGAGGAAGAGGAGGAGGAGGGGGAGGAGGAAGGGGAGGAGGAGGAAGAGGAAGAGAAGAAGGAGGCTGTGGCGGCTTGTTTGGAGTCTACACTGGCAACTGTATCATCTTTACCTAGGCCGCATTTCCCCCAAGATGATGTGAGCAGTTACTTCCACTCTGTGGCCTTGGGTGAGGGCCATCATGTCCAGGTGCCTGCAGCTGCTCTGTGGCCACTTCCTCACAGTGCTGCCATAGGGGGAAAGGAGGGGAATACATCCAGAGATCCAAGGTGTCACTTAGGGACTGCCTGGTTATATCATGACTGGGGGCAGGGAGGGAGAGGGGACAGAGGGGCTGATGTTGAACCCAGCTGGAGGTGCCTTGGAGTTTCCTCCCTCTGGTACTAGAACAGCCAGGAGGCTTGGGCAGGTCTGTTGGCCTCAACCTTTGATGGCTAAGTCATCACCTGGGTCGGAGTCCCCTCTCCCTCCTGAATAACACAGAGCTCAGCCATCACTCCGTTCCTTGGACCCAGAGTCACTGGACAAGCCCTGGCATCCTGGGAGTCAACCTCACAGGAACTGGAGATCTGGCCCCATCTTTATGACTGTTGAGACCTTGGGCCCAGTCACCTGCACTTGGTCACCTCTGGGATTCCCCAGCCATGACTGTCACTCCTGGGAGTTGTTGGGAAGACACGCCGCGGGGGTGCTGGGCCATTCAGGTGTCCCTGCAAGGGGAAAAAGGCTGACTACCTCCAGCTGAACCAAACCAGGTTCTACAGAAACTACCCCATGGAGCGGGCAACACACCCCACGGTTCCCGTCAAAGACAGAAGCCGGCCCAATGTAGTTGTTCCTGACTTCCCAGGACTCCAGACTCCTCCTTCCGGAAGTGGGCTTTCTCAGAACACTTGGCATCACTTCGACCTACCGTCCAGCTCTCTGTGCTCCATCCCACCTCTTGGACTGTCTCCCCTCCCTCCTGCTGGGCAGTGCAACCAGTACCTGAGATCTCCTCTTTGCATCCTGGGAACACTCCCCAGGAGACCCCTCCTTCCTGGGGTTTAGAAGCATCAGCTTCTGCCCTCTAAGGGGCTGACAGTCCAACAGGAGAGGCCATGAAACCCTTTTCAGTCCAAGGTTGGAGAATGCAAGCTGCAAAGGGCAGAGGCAGGAGTGGGGAGCAATCCGGGAAAACTTCCTGGAGGAGGGGAAACCCGAGGGATGAATGAAGTTAGTCAGGCAGCCTAGACAGACAGAGTCGCTGTACCCAAATGAGTTAAGCAAATGGGACACACACCTGCGGGAAGGGCAGGGGGAAGTTGTTCTAAGAGGAACCTAGAGATCTGGAGATGGTGACCTTTGGTCTGTTCCTGTAGGAAAAGTAGGAGACCTGTATGGGCTGCTACATGGTGTGTGTGTGTGTGTGTGTGTGTGTGTGTGTGTGTGTGTGTGTGCATGTATGCATGTATGCATTGCATATGTGTGTTTGTACTTGTGTGTATGTCTGTGTGTGTGCATTTCGTGTGTATGGGTGCATGTGTGTGTGGTGTGTGTGTATACACATGCACACATGTGTGTGGTGCCTTCAAGCCAAACTGCTCACCAGATCCACGAGTTCAGAGAGGTTAGTGGTGGGGACAGGTTGTCCCTCATCAGCCCACAATAACCACCATGTGGAAAAGGGGCCCCTGATAGTTGATAGTGTCAGTTCCATAGGACCTAGAATCACCATGGAAACAAATTTCCATGCATGGCCTCAGGAATTTCCTAGAAAGTTAATTGAGATGGGACAGTCATCCTAAATGTGGGCAGTATGTGGAAATGGGCTAGCTGGGGTCCCAGCCTGCATAAAAAGGAGAACCCCAGCTGAGTACCAGCCATCTTCTTCTCCCTCTGCTTCCATGACTGCAGACATAACGTGACCAACCAATGGTCTCCACCTCCTGCCTCCAAGCATGCCTTCCCTGCTGTGAAGGAGCTCACCTTCCAACTGCGAGCCACGGAAACCACGGAAACCACGGAAAAAACTTTCCTTCCACCAGTGGCTTTAGTCAGGGATTTTTTTGTCACAGCCAAGAGGCAAGTGATGACTACAGGGACCTGCTGGGACAGATTGTGTGATTTCCTGGGGGGGGCATTTCATTTCACTCCTCTACTCAGCGGAAAAACACGCAGAATGAAACTTCCCATTTCATTTCACTCCTCTACTCAGCGGAAAAACACGCAGAAAAAAAAATTATATATAAAACCATCACACAGTGGGCAGATTGAAACAAGCGCTTTTCTGAGCCAGACTGAGCCCTGGAAAGGTCATTTGGAGACCCTGGGGATGGAGCCCGGATGTTGGCAGAGAGGGTAGGTGGACATCATGTAAAGCAGGAACCTCAAGAGGATGAGTGACAGGATAGTCCTTGATCCCTCAGGGTGTCACCAGGCTTCTGACCAGCAGCTCAGCCTCCCTGGAACAGAGATTCAGATTCGGAAGTCTGCATGGTTCTAGAACCTTTCTCCGAAAGCCAGCTCCTCCCGAGAGCATCCTGTGCAATGACCCTTCCAGCTCACAGTTCGGATAAAGGCTGCAAGAGTCCTGAGGCTGCCATCCTCCAGGTCTGAGCTCTTCCGTCCAGCATCCCGCATCCTTCCTAGGGCGGAAGGATGCTGAACCTTCCCCCATCTCCTTCCTGCAGCAGCGGCCCTTCCCCTGGTCCTTTCTCAGGGCAGTCCCATCTTTTCCGGTTTTCATCATCATTAAGCCAGGGCATGTTGACCCACACTAGCAAATAAAGCAATGAAACCAAATAGGAAGAAACCCATCAAAACCCTCTCCAGACAGCCAGAAGGAAGTCTCCCCAAAACCCCCAAATTAAGGCAGTGCTGGGAACAGAGCCTTCAGGAAAAAAACCCTTTCAGCTGAAACCAAGAGCATGCAGGCTGAGGTATTTCATTAGAATAATGGTCTCCCTCGGATGGGCAATTTAGGAGAAAGGTTAGTAGCTAAGCGTAGTCTTACCCTGAGGATGCCAGGAGGCTGCAGGGAGAGTCTATGCAGGCTGCAATTTGAGGCCTGGGAGCTTTTAGGCTTATTTCCCTGGTTTTGAGGCCTATGCGTGGAAGATAAGCTTTGTTTTCAGATATCCAAAGGAAGCTGGACTTCTGTGCTCTGATAGAAGTCTTTGATTGCTCTCAACCACCCATTAGTTAATTGCCCAGGGACAGGGCCCTAATGATCCTCAGGGTACCCTACTAGCAAGGGATTAAGGGCCTTATAAATGCACAGGATCCTTGCCAGGTGTCCCAGTATTGATAACCCAGCAAAAATGGACCCATGACTGTGGGGTCCTGGGGCCTCCACAGGGGGCTATAGGACATAGTGGATGCTCAGTTAAGTGGAGTGGGGGAATCTTCCACACATGCCTGCAAGCAAATACTAGTTGAGGGGAGGGGGGCGGCAGCTACTGTGTGAGACAGTAGGCAAAACGAGTCACGTGGCCCTATGGCAGTGGTTCCCAATCTTCCTTTAATATAGTTCCTCATGTTGTGATGACCGCCCCCAACCATAAAATTACTTTTGTTTTTACTTCATAACTGTGATTTTGCTACTGTTATGGATCATAACGTAGACACCTGTGTTTTCTGATGGTCTTAGGCAACCCCCGTGAAAGGTTCAGTCGAGTGCAAAGGGGTCGCGACCCACAGGTTGAGAACACTGCCCTGTGCGATGCCACTTTTCTTGGCAAGTGGTCATTAAATGCCTAGATGACATGGCTGTTGGCCTGGCACCTGCTGTAAACAGGTATGTGTTCACTTCCCAGTGCTACCTTTGCAATGCCCCTGTAACTGGGGTGACTTAAAGCATACTTACTCATTCCCTCGTGGCTCTGGAGTCCAGAAGGTCAAAACCAAGGGGTCACCAGGACCATGCTCCCTGCAAGGCTCGAGGGTCAAATCCTTTTCCTCTGTGCGCCCCTGATATGCACTGGAAGCAGCTGCCCCACTTGACGATCTGCCTCTCAGGTCAGCAGACTTTCCCATTGTAGCTTTCTTCTCATCTTTTGATAAGGGTCCCCAGTTGTTAGATTAGGAACTGCTCGATACCCTCCTCTTACCTCGATTCCACCAGCAAAGACAATTTCCAAATAAAGTTCCATCCACGGTTAGCGGGGGTGAGCAATCCAGTCTTTCTAGTTTGGAGCACAATAAGGAAACCGATGTGGTCTTGGAGCAGAGGATTCAGGGAGATGAGCAGAGCCCAAGAGTTCTTGAGAAGCAGATGCTTCAATAACATGTAAGATAAGATGTTTATTTATGGGGCACCTTGAACTACCATGGCTGTAGTCTTTGGACCAGACCATGAAGAAAATGAAAGAATCAGGAAGGTCAGGTATAGTAGCACACATCCATAATTCTAGCATTTGGGAGGTGGTAGCATTAGAATCAGGAGTTCAAGGCCATTCTTGGCTCTTAATATATAGGGAGTTTGAAGCCAGCTTTGGACATGAGACCAATTCTTAGAAAACCAAAAACACTGCCACCACCACCACCACCACCACCACCACCACCACCACCACCACCATCACTGTCTTCATCACAGTCTTCATTGCGGACATCACCCTCCTCACTACCATCACCCCTGTCGTCGTCATTGTCATCATCATCATCATCATCATCATCATCATCATCATCATCATCACCACCATGATCACCAGCACCCTATCACCATCATAACCATCATATCATCATCACCAACACTATCATGATGACCATCACCACATCATTACCACCACCTAAAACAACCAAATAGGATCAGAAGGGTCACTCTTTCCTTCCCAAGCTCTTGAAACTCCCCTGTGACTAGACTCCATTTCCTCTAGCAAATTAAAGTGTTAGCTAGGAACATGTTTAGATCTTCCTCAGATTTTTCTTCATGAGACTCTGATGTCTTAAACTAACGTCTTCCCACATCAATAAAGATAAGGCC